GGGGGGGCAGTGCCCCCCAGCCGCTGCTCAGAGGCCCGGGAAGCTCTCCACTGCGCCCCCTGGCGGTCCGGAGGGTACAGTCCGGCTCCCGTCCCCGCAGGGACCTCGGGTCGGGTCAGCGCAGCCCGTGGACGGCTTCCTGCCAGGAGAGGGTCGTGGGCACGTGTGGCGCTGCCAGTGGGTGCCAGGCACCGAGGGCCCGGTTCACTGAGTCGCTCCCGTCCCACACCCTGGGCGCCGCGTTCCCGGGGGAAGCAGGCGGGGAGCTCAAGCCAAAGTTGCTGTCCTGCTCTGCCCGGAGCCCGCATCTTGTCAACCGGCACAGGCGTCGGGACAGGAGGGCGGCCTCGCTGTGGGCTCGGGCCTGTCCTCCAGCGCGATGGCGGCCCCTGCCCTGGCCGTGATGGCTCAGAGCCACACGAGGACCCCAGACAGTACGCCCTTCCTCCGCCTGTGCCGAAGCCTGCAGACCCCACTGGTGACCTCAGCACTGTGCCTCAGGCTCCATCCCGGTGCTGTTCCCACCCCGGCACAGTGGCCCACTCACCCCCAGCACCTTCGGTTGCCCCAGGGGTAAGATCTCCCTGTTCAGGAGGAGAACCCCATGTTCCCAGGGGAGGGGCCACCATGGTCACTGTGGCCAGTTTGTCACCCTCCAGGAGCTGGGGCCCAGGGCTGAGCTATCTGATGCGGCTAGAGGGGTGGGGACAGGCTACCTGCAGCACAGACATAGCCCCCGAGGGAGGATCTGGCCTCAGTTTCCCCATCTGAGGAGCAGGTGGAGGCTACCAGCTGTCACGGTGTGAGCCAGAGGCACAGCAAGGCATCCAGCAGCACACGTGGCTGACACGGGGCTCGCAGGGTCCACGCCAGCAGCAGAGGGACAGCGAGGTGCTGAGTCCTCATGGGATGCTGGCATGGGGCCGGGGCCGGGGAGACAAGGAGGATCTGGCCTCAGTTTCCCCATCTGAGGAGCAGGTGGAGGCTACCAGCTGTCACGGTGTGAGCCAGAGGCACAGCAAGGCATCCAGCAGCACACGTGGCTGACACGGGGCTCGCAGGGTCCACGCCAGCAGCAGAGGGACAGCGAGGTGCTGAGTCCTCATGGGATGCTGGCATGGGGCCGGGGCCGGGGAGACAAAAATGGGGAAGGGGTGGGCGGGGACAGCGGCTCATGCACATCTCCAAAGCAAGGCGACCCCTGAGGCCTGGGGCCTTTGCCCGCACCCTGTCTTCACTGGCCTCTCCGTCCTTGGGACACCTGGACAAGCCGCACACACCAGCGCCCCGTCCCGCCGCCCGCCTTGCCTTGCCTTCCCGTCTTGTGAGTGAGAATCCTGGGCCCAGGCTTGGATCTGGACCAGGCAGGGGTCTGGGCCTTGCCCCAGCTCAGCCTGTTCAGAATCTGTGCAAACAACTCCGTGTGAATCGCAGCCTGAAAGTGCGAGCTTAGGATGCTGGTTTCTGCAGAGTGGTGTAGAGTTAGTTTAATGACTGGACCGTGTGTCACAAAGAGGTCATTCCTACACCTTCCTGCTTGATAATGACGCAGGCGGCTTCATTACAAACAGAAAAGCTGTGGTGCCCCCTCGGCAGGTGGGTGTGACAAGCCGCCCGGCTGTGGCCTCCACTGGCTGTGCTGCGTGGCTCTCAGGGGCTGCCTGCAAAGGCCTCGTCTTTCTGAGGGGACACTGCCCAGAGGCAGTGTCAGGGCCAGGCTGTCACTGGAGCCCAGCGTCGTTTATAGGAAGTCACGGGGGCCAGGAGTGAAGGCGTTGAGTCCAGTGGCGCAATCAGCTGCCCACGGGCTGGGGTGGCATCCGGGTCTCCAGACGCTCGGCTGCGAGTCCACGGCACCCTCCCTTCTGGTGAAAGGGTGCTTTCCCATCAGGCCTGGCAAGTTCTGCTTGTGTTCCACACCACAGCCACAGAGGTGCAGTGGCAGATCAGGTGCAGAGACCAACCAGTGGCCGGGGCCCAGGGGACAGCAGAGGTGGCAGAGAGGAGGAGGCGGTGTAGACAGGAGAATCCAGACAGCCTCAGATCCGTGTGGATGGTGTCGTGTGGGTGCTGTCAGGTGGGTGTTGTGTGGATGGAGGCCAAGGGCGGGGAGGCCTTGGAGGGGAAGGGCGGGGGGTGGCCACGTGCGTCTCGGAGGCCTGGTGGCTGGGGCCTCTTCACCTCTGCTTGCCTAGGCTTCACCTCGGGTCACCTCCTCGTAGGATGGTGGAGGCCTGGGCGACGGGTGCGGATGCCACAGTTCCAGGTCTGCGGGGGGTGCCGGAGGGGAGCTGCCTGTGTCCTGCAAGGAGAGTTGCCTGTGTGGCCCGGGGGACAACAGCCCTCCTGGGAAACTTGAGGTTCCCATGCAGGTGGGGAGCAAGGCTGCACAGCAAGGGACCCATGGGGCCTCCCTGCCTGAGAAGGTGCCAGCCCTCGTCGTCCCCTCCTACCCCTGGACACAGTGTGGCCCAACAGCCCTGCTGACTGCTGCCTGCCCGTGGGGTCTCTAACCTGGGCCGGGCCAGGCCTCGCCTCTCCCCGCTCCCTGCTGGGCCTCATGATGAGCTGAGTGGCTTCCCTGTCCAGTGCTGCAGAGCCCACTGTCCATCCCCTCAGCCGGCCGAGGCGGGCAGATTCTCCCAGCCCCAGGGTCAGAGCCTGGCCATTCTGCTACAGACCTGCGCTCACACCCGTGTTTAAAGCAAGGCATCCTGGGCTGAGTTGGGCAGCAGTGAGCAGCTCTGAGCCCGTCCTGGCCCAGGGCGGAGACCCGGGCAGGTACAAGTGCGACAGGAGGGCTGCAGCCTCTGAGCCCCGGCTCCCTCGGCTTGGCCACTTCCTTCCTGACATCTTTGCTTGGTGGTGAATAAAACTGAGGCCTCACATCTGCCCACGTGGAGACTCAGCATGGAACATAGGCACACAGCCTGAGTGTCACCAGTGTCCGCTGTGCAGGGTGCCGGGCTGTGGACAGAGGGGTTCACGGTGTTCACAGCAGGGAGGGCCTGAGGCCGCAGAGCCGAGCGGAGTACATGGGACACTCAAGCCTGAGTATTGTGTGCTTTCTCTTCCGTGAGAAACCGGAAGTGTAAATACATCAAAGAGCAAGGTAAAGGTAAAGGAAGTGGGGATAGAGTGTTCTCAGACAGGAAGGGGAGCAGGGCATGGGGGTGCCACCAGCACTTGGGAAGCTGAGGCAGGAGGATTGCTGGGAGCTCAAGGCCAGCCCGAACTATGTTGGGAAACCTTGTCTCAAAAAACAACGACAAAAAAAAATCAATGCCCGCTAAATGATCAGATGGGAAGGGGATCAAGAGATGGAGGGGCAGGAAGGGGATGCAAAGAGATGAAGATGTGCTATGTGCTATGTGCTATGCACCATCTCCCACGATGAGTGCAATCACTGTGCATGGCAAACAGGTACTAACAAAATCAAAGACACGAGTAGCATGAGTGTTGGGCACCCTGCTGCTTGGCTCACTGGGCCTGCAGGGACCGGTCTCCTATCTGAAGGCCGTGTCCAGCAGACAGGGCTCGGGCATGGGCTGGACTTGCCTGAGCAGAGCCCTGATGTCTCCATGGCCTTGGGAAGAGGTGAGGCCACACTGAGCCTCAGTTTACCTTTCTGTGGTGGGGGAGCAAGAGCCTGCCGGACGCTGGGAAGCTGGTGTTGAGTCGTCTTGTGGACACGATGGCGTGTAAACTGTCTGGTGCCACAGGGGTCACCACAGGGCCCTGCCCATGCCGTCCATGGGACCCCTCATCCCACCCATGGGTCTGATGCTGCCCAGCATGGTGGCCGAGGCTCTGGAGTGCCTGGTGTGTCCCTGGGCAGCCCTCTCACCTGTCCTCTGTTCACACACCCGCTCCCTCCCCGAGCACAGGGCTGCTGTGGGCAGGCTCACCTGTGCCCACTGCCGGGCCCGTCTGTGGGCGGCGATGGCTGTCAGCACCGTCAGCAGCAACTCCAGGGTGGTGCAGCACAGCAGTGCCAGCTCCAACTGCTGGACGTGGGCCTGCTGGGCAGAGGGGATGGGCAGGGCTTAGATCCGTAGGCGTGGGCCTGGGCACTGGTGTCTGAGGCTGTGGGGCCTCTTGGGTCCCCGGGAGCTGGAAGTGGGCTCAGAGTGCCATTGCCATCTTTACTGACCGATTGGGATACTGAGGCCGGGAGGGCGGAGGGGAGAGGGGCGAGGACCACCGTGTGGCCTGCCGCTGGCCTGCACTGGGAAGTGTGCGTCCACATGTGTGTCCACGTGTGCATGCCCACGTGTGCATGTCCACGTGTGCAGGGTGGGGCAAGGAAGGCCAGTCCCGGGATTGGAGCCTTGAGACCCTGCCGAGGTGGAGCCGGGGTGAAGGGAGTACTGGGTCACCCTCCACCCCCGACTTGCTGTGTGGCATTGGTCCACTAATTTAGCCTCTCTGGACCTCGAGTTTCACCTGTAAACTGGGGGTGACAGTGCGGGGCTGTGCTTGGCTGCTGGGAGGCTGTAGGTGACAGTGGCCTCTGCAGAGACTATTGACAGCCTGGTGAGCGACAGGTGGTTCTAGGTCTGGTCCTGGATTTGCTCTGTGACCTCAGACTCCTCTCCCTCTCTGGGCCTCAGTTTCCCCACATACACACACAAGGCTAGGGTTAGCAGAGTGAGGCCCTGTCCAGTTCCTGGTGCTGACCTGTGGCCCAGCTGGGCACCCCGTTGTACCAGGCCTGGCTGCAGGAGGCTTCCCCAGATGGTGGGCACTCACCTTGGGATTAGGGTACGGTGTCCGGTCTGGCCTGGGAAACGGGGTCTCCAGGAAGAGGTCCTTGCAGAGGACGAAGAGGCCAGCCAGGGTACAGAGGAAGCTGACCAGGCTCGTGGCCAGGCACAACGCCATCTATAGGCAGAGAGGGGTGTCCAGGTCCTCATTCTCCCTGCGGATAGCTCGTGTCCTGACCCGGGCGCTCTGCTGTCCCTGGGCACTGTGATGAGGCTCCTGAACCCCGAGGGTGACCCTGAAGCTCCTGTGGGGCACGCAGCTTCAGAGTCTGAGGCTGCTCTGGGCCATGTAGCTCAGTGGTGCAGAAGGACATGGCCCCTTGAGGCCAGCCTGACCACCCTCGGCGGATGTGCCTGCTGGCTGGGGGCACGACACCCCAAGGACCCAGGAAAGAGTGAGGAGCCTCATACCACCCTGTCCCCATGCCCGTCCCGGGTCCTGTGGGCCTGCCAGAGGCCAACGAGAAAAACAACAGGCACAGGGGACCACATCTGGACTGGGACAGACATCTCTGCAGCCAGCGTCCCTGTGCTTGGGCACAGCCTGGGCTCCTGGGTCCTCAGTTCTGGAAGGGGAGGCTGGGGACCTGGTAGCCTCTGTCAGGCCTCTGTTGCCTCTGCTAGGACAACTGTATAAATGTCCTCCTGTCCTGCAGGGGACAGCCATGTGCCAGCCCGGGCAAGGGCACAGAACAGCAGGGCCGGGCTGGGCTTTGTGCAGATGGCACGAGGACCCCGCTGTGGGCTGTGGCTGTGGAACATGATTTGCAAGACCTATCCTCCCCCTCTCCCCACCTCCGCCTGTCTGGCCTGTGCTGGGGCCACTCTGCGCCCACCTTGGGGCTGTGGGGACGGAAGCTGGCCACGGGGGTCGGGGAAGACCCAGGGTGCAGAAGGAAGGCTGCAACAGGGTCTGAAGTCGCAGCTGGGGGAGAGGGGGTGGCGCGGGTTCAGGGCCAGGCAGGACGGCAGCCCATGGGCCTGAGGCTGCGGGTGAGCGCTGAGGCCCAGGGAGCCTAGGAGGGGACAGCGCGGTGACAGGGTGGGACCTACGCTGTGTGCAGGACAATGTGGGTCCCCTCGGGCCGGAGCTGGGGCGGGAGAGTGAGGTGCACCAAAGCATGGCGAGGGTGTCTGGGCAGGGGCAGTGCCGGGCACGGGCCTCAGGCGCAGGCCTCACGGTGAGGGAGGCCCGCTCAGCCCAGGTCCTTCTGCTCTGCTGCCACCAGCGTCTCCTGCGCCGCTCTGCACAGCTGCCCTCGAAGTCCCGCACAATCTCCAGGCGCCAACTCACCAGAGAGGACTTGAGCAGCTTCCCCATGGTCAGCACTGAGGTTCCGGAAGCAAGGAACTGAGGGCAGGACCCGCAAGTCAAGGGGGCTTCGGGGTTCTGCAAAGCCCACTGATTTCCTTCCCCCTTTCCAAGAAGCTGGTGGCCAACGGGGCAGGGTGCCGTGTTCTTGCCAGGGCAGGTGTCCCGGCTTCTGGCCAGCGCGGTGCCCTCAGAGACCCCCCACCTGTTCCCTGCTGAAGCTGGGACCTGGCTGCGCTGCCCTTAGGACGCCTGGCCCCTTCCGAGCGTGGTTTGCAGGCCCGATGGTCCCTCTGTGATGGGACACTGCTTTCCTGTCTCCCGAGTTCGTCACCAAGGACAGCAACCCGAGGCCCGGTGGTGACATCTCAGAGAGCGGGCAGTGGGGGCAGAGGATTGCAGGGAACCAGGGCAGTGACTCAGTTGCCAGGGAGCCGGGGTGGTGAGCGCAGGGAGAGGGGCGGGGTCTCCTCCCACCTGCCCAGGTGCTGCCCCGCTCAGGGCCACAGCGCAGAACTCAGAGCTCCTAGCTGAGGTCCAGGAGCCCGGGAGCTGTGCCCGCCTGAGCTGTGCTCTTCCCTGCTCCCTGGGCCCCACTCACGGAGGCGGCGCCCCAGAACGGGTACCAGCACTTCAGCACCACCAGGTGAGCCTCCCCAACGGTGGTGGCCAGGAAGCTCCCGAAGGTCAGGGTCAGAATGCCGAGGAAGAGGTGGAGGACCTGGGGGACACGGGTGGCCTGAGGGGCTCCCTGCAGGACCCTCTCCAGCACCGCGGCAAGGACAGGCAGCAGGCGGATGTGTGCAGAGGCTTTCTGGTGCAGCCCCTGCTGTTCCCCGGCCCGGACACTCACGCCCAGCCCCAGCAGCAGGCTCTCCCTGCTCCTCCTGAAGTGTGGGCTTGCAGCTGGCAGGGTGCCCTGGGGTGGACCTGCCCGTCCTGGCTGGGCCGGGCCGAGGGCCTGGTAAGGTGGGAGCCCCCCAGCCGTGGAGCTGGGGACCGAAATCTCCAGGGCGGCTCCGCAGGCATCTGTCGCCATCGGCTCCACTGGGCCCGGCTGTGGGCAGAGGGAAAGGCTCTCAGGTGCGCCTGAGGCTTTGGCGTGGGGTCCACAGGGGCATGAGTCTCTGCGCGCTGGCGGAGAGCACCCTCCCAGGCATCTTGGGAGCTGTGGCAGGGGCGTGGTTCAAATACAGTTGGTGAGGCAAGGAGACAGAACAGCCTCTCTCACATTGGGTTCCATGGAACCCTGGCTGTAATGGAGCTTCAGGAAAAGGGTTCCGTGGTCTAATGAGTTTGGGAAGCCCTGGACTCCACCTTCTCGCGCTTCCCCTATTAAAGGGCTGAGAACTCTGTTGGTGGAGCCCCCTGGTTTTACCTTAAGTGCATCCCCCAACTTCAGTGGACACAGCCCAGCAATTCTGTGTCATTGTTTCTGCTTTTGACGGTAAACTTTGGGGTTTTGTCCTCTGCCGTCCCTTGGTTTCCTTGTGGTATTGCTTGGCAGGTGTGACCCCAGGGCCACTTTCTGCTATCGGGGGTGGTGGGGGGCAGCCAGGAGCCCCCATGACAGGAGGGGGAGGTGCTGTGCCTCAAGTTCTCCCCCAGCCCTGGGAGCTGGGCAGGGCTCGGTCCTGCTCCTCTTCACCCAGGTCTTCTGCTCTGGGAGGGCGGGGCAGGCAAGTGTGGAGGCCCCGGCTCTGCCCCTAGCTGGCCTCGGACAGGTTGTTTGCATCGGTGGCCATCTCTCCTTCCCTGCACGCGGGGCAGGGGCTGCCTGGGCCTGGGTAGCTCTCCAGGGAGGTCCCAGCCAAGCGGCAGGGCTGGTCGGCATGGCAGCTGTGGAGGCCAGGACGCAGGAGAGCCTTGGAGGGTGTGTGCGTGTGCGCATGTGAGTGCATGACAAGCAGGGAATGGAGGGGTGGGTGGCCCTGAGCGGCACCCTGTGACAGGAGCCACTGGTGAGGATCGGGGTGCAGCGCAGGCTTGGGAGCAGCCATGCCCCCATGCCTTCAGGAGCACAAGGTGCTCAGCTGCCTTGTGCTCTCCAGTTGGCCCCTGTGCCTGGGGTCTGCAGGGCCAGAGGGGGAGGCTGGTCCACGCTCTGCCAGCCCCCGGGCAGCGCCTGCTGCAGAGGGGCCCAGGTGGGGACCCCGGCCCCCCACATCCTTGCCACCGCCCGTCCCCTGTTCCACAGCCTCCAAGCAGGCAGGGAGCTGCACTTACGCTGCTGGTCCCCACCTCGAGGCCAGCACTGAGCTGGGGCACAAGCCTGGGCCCCTGGGTCCCGGTGGGACTGAGCTCCAGGGCTGCCCAGCCCATGGGGATCTGGAGTCTTGGGGACCACTCACCAGCCTGGGGACTTCCACCTTGCCGAGCTGTGGCTTCGCCCTACCTGGGCGACGGCGCCAGGCAATCAGGCCATCTTTACACCTAGACTTTGGCTCTTGCCCGGGAACCACCCCTGCCACCCGCCCAGGGGCTGTCAGAGGCCCCCCCCCCCGGTGACAGCCCAGTGCCCTTCCGCAGGCCTCCTGTTCCTGGTGGCGATGTCCCTTCTGCAAGGGCCGGGTCCAGGGGCAGCGCTGGGGTGATGGGGCCGTGACCGCGGCAGTCAGAGGCTGGGCGTTTCCACAGCACCTGTCAGTTCTGGAAAATTTCCAGCGCTTCCACAGCAAGATTCAGTGCTCAGCCTCCTCTCTGTGGGTTTTTCTCCAAAACAGATGGACTTAACAAGTGCAGCCTCATGGCACCACTGGGAGCCCCCAGCATTCAGACACAGGTGACACTCACCTGAAAGCCTGGGAGGCTGAGGCGGGAGGATTGCAAATTCAAGCCTAGGCCGGGTAACTTCAGGGCTTAGTGGGACCCTCTCTCAAAAATAAAAAGAACCAAGGGTGTGTGTTGCTCGGAGTAAAGGCCCTGGGCTTAATCCCTGGTCTTGTCTGCACACTGCTCTGGGCTGCCGGCCCCACTCCTCAGAGCTCGGAAGTGCAGTGTGCATCCCTCCGAGGGACTTGGCATGGGGGCAGAGGGGCTCCCCCTTTCTGCCTGCTTCTCTCCATGTTGTCACACACAGGGTGGCGGGCGGGTGGGCCGGCGGGCAGCATTGTGCCAGGGCTGTCCGCTCCGGCTTGCTGTGCACGAGTTCAAATCTCAGCTCTGCCCCTTAGATTCTGCTGTCCCTGAGTGAGTTATGCGACCTCTCCAGCCTCAGTTTTCCCCTGTGAAGTGGGGGTAACAACACCACTTGTTGGCCAGGGCTCGACGCAAAGCTGAGTCCCGTGTGTCGTGTCTGGTGTGGTCACTCGCACCAGGGCAGTGAGCACAATGTCGTCCCCACAGAGGGGCTCATGCCCCTGCAGCCTGGCTGGGACACCCTGCCCAGCCTGTTCTCTGAACAGCTCCCCTCTGGCCAAAGCAGCTAGGAGCCCTGGGCAGGACAGGCCCCACCCTAGGGGTCCTCAGCCTGTGGCCAGAGGAGGATGCCCGCAGTCCGCCTGGCCCTCCCTGTGACTGCTCCCACCCAGGGCTGAGGCTTTGCATGGAGATGCAGCCCAGGACCTGGGGTGGGGCAGGTGTCTGACTGCCAGCGTGGCCGAGAGAGGGACGGGGAAGCACATGGGAAGGCATGGACACGGGGCGGCTCCCGAGGACGCCAAGGGTGGGCAGCTGGCTCCCCCACTCTGATCCCTCAGTTTCAGTGCCTCTGACCTCAGAACGTCACGACAGGAATTTGTGTTGGGCGAAGCCACAGCCGGCGGTGGTGACTGGTCCAGCGGCCACAGGCCAGGTGCATTGTCTAACAGAGTGGATGGAGGGTAGAAGCCGGGATGAGCAGGCGAGGGAGGCCAGCAGGGAGCCGCTGGCGGGCAGAGGCCAGACTGGGCGGTAGCTGCATCTCCAGGGCCTGCAGCCAGAGTGTGGACTTGGCCCCGAGGACAAGGACAGCAGCCTCGGTGACTCCTGCCCTTTAGCAGAGCCCGAGGCTGTGATCCAGGAGTGGGGCTGGGCGGCTCTGCACTGGGCACACGGGAGGCAGGTGGGGTCCAGTGCCCTGGGCCCTGGTGTCTGGGCAGGAGGAGGGGAGGGGCAGCAGGAGCACAGAGGGCTGTGGGGTTGGCTGTGTCCCTCCAGCTGAGGGAGGGCCACAGTGGGCCTGAGGGACAGGGTGACCTGGGACACAGTGGAGGGAGAGGGAAACGGGTGCCCCAGGAGGTGACAGGTGAGGATGGCGACCTCGGGTGTCGTCTGGGTTCCTGTGCCAGCGAGGAAGGAGCTGGAAAAGCTGGAAGACTCTGTGACAAGGAGGTCAGCGACAGTGGCCTGGGGCAGGTGGGCGAGGCAAGGCCAGGCCAGGCCGGGACCTCTGAGGCGCGGTGGGTGTGGACGAGAGCCGCGATGGAAGGGGTATGGTGCAGGAGGGCAGCGGTGGCGCAGTCCCTGGGGTGGGAGGGCGGAGCTGCGGCCGCCAGCATCAGTTCCTCAGTCCTGTTGCTGGGGAGGCGGCCGCTGGCCAGGGACATGGCAGGGAGGCCCCAGAGGCGGGGATGGAGAGCGCCCCAGGGTGGAGGGAGAGGACATGGACAGCGGCAGAGCCACAGCCTCCACCCGATGGGCCCGGCGGTGGTCCTGTGGTCAGCCCGAGTGGGTCTGGGAGGGTCTTCTGGTGGGGATCCCACCCCGTGGCTGGCTGTGAGGCCAGGGCTCATTTCCTGTCTCTTCCCTCCTTTCGGAGGACAGGAGATCACACATAATGGCAGGCAGGATCAGGTCTGCTCTGTTGGCTGTGACCTACGTGCATACCCAGTCCCCAAGGCTCAGCTGTGGTCAGTTCTTGGGTACTTAGCAGTGCATGAAGCGGTGCGTGTTCGCAGGGCCCAGCCTTCCACACAGACTCACCTTAGACGGAGCCCAGGGTGTTCTTTTTCATTTCACGCTCCACCCCCACAATTGAACTCTGGACTTTGCACTTGAGAGGTAGGTGGTGGAATCACTGAGCCACATCCCCGGCCCCTCATTTTTCTCTCTTAAATTGCTGCACCACAGTTCACAGGGTGATCAAAACATGCAGTGGGTGTTTAAATTTAAAACGACTTGCAATGGTAAAGGCCACACTGCCAAGAGCAATGGGACAGGGTCTGAAGCGTGGGGTGTGCGGGGGACCGATGGCAATGTGTCTCCCTGTCACTGCCCTGGTGGGTGGCACAACACCCAGTGCCCTCAGTGTGAGGCAGAGGGGCCTGGCGGAGGAGACCTGCTCACCGCGTGGTGGCCAGGAAGCAGTGAGGAGGAGGAGCTGGGCAGGTGGTGCACCCTTCCGGCCACGTCCCAGGGACCCAACCAGAAGGCATCAATCGCATCCCGGGTTTGGTCACCTTCCAAAAGCCTGGGCTATGAGTGCATGAGGGCTTTGGGGACATTCTTGATCCTGAGCTAACCTATAACAAGGTCTTGTATAGTAATAAAGTTGTTTATGTCAGTATTTACCATATTACTTGATCACTCCTCTTTGAACAAACATTTATGGCAATTTTTGTCAAATAACAACATGCTGCTGTGTCCTCATCCACCTCATTCGCCAGACCTGACACTGTGTGACTTCCGGCTCTTCTCCAAGGCAAAGTGACTGTGAAAGAGGAAGGTTTGAATCCACTGAGGTCATCGAGGTGGCCAGAGATGCTCAGGAAAGAGGACCCCAGAGCTGCCGCAGGGAGTGGCAGGAAACATGTGGTAAATGTGCCACAATGAGGGGAGTATTTGGAGGGATTAGTGGTCTTTTTTTTTTTTTTACTGTAATCAATTTAAAAAGTTCATCGTGCTTGTCATCGATCACGTGGGTGTTTACTTGTTCTGCTGCTCCTGGGCATCTGAGATGTTTCATGTTCTCACCTATTGCGAGGAGGTGTCACCTCAGACTCGCATACCTGTCTCTGGTGGATGTTCACAGATCCCTCGGGAGTGTGCAGGACAGACCTGCTGGGCTGAAGCCTGTATATGTGAGTGGCTTTAGTAGACCTGTCCCAAGTGGTGGTGTCAGGGCATCCTTCCTCCAGCCACGTGGAAGAGGCCAAGCCCTCTGCTCGCCATGGCTGGCCAGAAGTCTTTACTCATCCACTCTGATGAGCTGTGGAATCTCAGTAGGTTTTAAGCAAGCAGGCGGCGGCACCACTGAGGTAACTCCCCAGCCCCAGAAATTCTAATTTTAATAAATTCTAATTTATTCATGTTTTATGGTTATTTGTTTGTGCGTGTGTCTAGTTTAAGGAGTCTTTGCTTATTGTGAAGTAGGATGTTTTTCTCGTTTTCTTTTTTTAAAATTAATTTTCTTTTAGAAGCTTGTTTTAACTTTAAAATTGAGACCTATGATCCAATTTGAATTAATTTTTTTGTAAAATGTGAGGAAAAGTTGAGTTCATTTTATTTTCTATATAACATCCAGGGGCTCCAGAACTATTTGTCGAAAAAGATATCTTTCTCCACTGAGCAGCAGATGGGCGCTCTTCACAGATCAAATTACTCTATGTGTGGGTCTGTTTCACATTTTTGTTTCATTGGTCTAGTTGTCTATTTTTGACTAAAACTGTACTGTCTGAATTTCTGCTTTATACTAATTCTCCTAAAAATTTTTGTGAGTCTTTTGGGTCCTTTGAATTTCCATATGGATGTTGGAATGAGCTTGTGAACCCCTCCAAACTGTGGGGATTTTGAAGGGACGTATATTAAGTGACACCATAAAGCAGTTGAGCGGCCTGATCCATGAACATAGTACACCCGGTCACATGTTCAGATCATTGTTGATTTCCCTCTGGGACATGCCAGTCTCCAGCTGGAAGTCCTCTCCAACTCCCATTCAGGAAGCCCACTCACTGCCCACTGTCCTGCCCCCCAGCTCCTCTCTGTCCTCTGCTGAGGCTTTCCTGGCCTTTGTGGGGGCCAGTGTCCTGCTGCTCTCTCTTATAAAGATGCAGCTCCGATCTGCATGCCCCACTGGCAGGGCCATTCGGGAAGCACAGGAGCCTGAGCTGATTTACCCGTGGCTGGGCCGCAGGCTGTGTACCCAGATGGCTCTGCCACCTGCTGCCTGTACAGCCCCTTGCTTTCTGGATGGGACAGCTCTAGGGGCCTCTCTGTCTCCTTGGGTGGCAGCCTAGGCTGGGAGGAGGCATCGACCAATTAGTCCTCAGTCCCTCCGACTGGTCTGTGTTTGGCCCAGTCCTTTTGAGGGACTCAGTTGGCAGAGGACAGAACTGGGGTCCCTGCTGGGCCACATCCCCTCTTCCACCCCTGCCCTCCCCTCCAAACTTCTCCCCTCAGCTCTCAGCAGCCAGAATCTGCTCCCAAATCCTCAGGCACATTTGCACTTTATGATCTTAAACTCTAAGCTCTCAGTACCCATCTCCTCTTTTAACTTTTTCTTTCGTTGGTACTCAGGGTTGAACATAGGCCTTCACACAGAGCCACATTCCCGGGCCCTTTTAACATTTTATTTGTTTACTTTGAGATAGGGCTTTGCTAAGTCACAAAGTTGCCCTGGCTGAGCTTGAACTTGTAACCTTCCTGCAACAGCCTCCCAGAGTGTAGGGATGACAGGCATGGGCCACCACACTAGGCTCCTCCCTTGATTTTTAAGGTCAGTTCCCACCCAGCTCTGCAGGGCTGGACTCTGGCAGTGAAGGTCTCCTTGTGGTAACTTGCTTGTTGTGCTCTAGTCCAACGAGGGGTCCATGATTACCCCAACTTTGGGAAGACTCCTGGCAGGGACAGCAGTTGAACTGGGTCTTGAGGGAGGAGTAGGAGTTTGTTGGATGAAGTGGGAGTGGGGATGAATGCAGTCCTGTCCAGCCTTTGGGTGGGAAGCACTTTGGATTGTGCTTGGGGGTTCTTGGGTAAGAGCACATGGTGATTTCAGAGGGAGCTGGGTTCGAATTCCAGATTCTTAGTGGTCCAGTGGCCCTGGGTATGGGTTTAACTTCAGGATCCTCCATGTAGAGTGGGACCCATGTGACTTCTAGGTGGGGTGAGGCCAGAGGAAGTGGGACCTCCCACACACCGGTGCCCTTTTGCTGGGACAGCCATGGATGTCCTTGAGGTTAGAAAGCAGAATCCTGCAGTGGAGCCGCACAACCTCAAAGCCACACTGCTATTTTCCTCTGTGGTGTGGGATGCACGAGCTGTCCAGGGCCTGTGGCAGGACTAAGGTGTCTCGTGGTTTGGGGGGTGTTCCCCCTTGGTTCTCTTGGCAACCCACCGGCAGCCCCGCTCCTGGCAGTGGCGGAGGGAGGTCAGTCCAAGGGGCGCAGATGCCTGAGGTGAGGGTGCCCACTGTGTCCCTGGACAGGGGGCTGGGCCAACCAAAGCCAGCTCCACATTGCAGATAAGGAGACTAGGGGCACCGGGAGGGGCTTAGGGTCTTGGGTCCATGCTGTAGCTTCTGGGTGGGGAATCTGAGGCCAAAGCAGTGGCAAGGACAGAGCCTTCTTCCCTCGGGAGCACCAGGCTCTGGGTGCTGGGCAGGTGGGTGTCCCCGGGAAGGGGAAGGACACACAGCTGGACATCTGCCCCAGAGGGAGGGGTAGACAGAAGGCCCACACCTGGGGTGCAGTGGGTGGGATGGGACAGCGGGGTGGGAGCGGCAGGCTGAGGGGTAGCACTTGGCTACTCGGGGGATCCCTTGGGGATGTAGGCCACGTTGTCATAGGCAGGGGGTGGGGAGGCAGCCAGGCTGGGGACTTCGAAGTCTGTGTGGAAGGCGTCTGGCAGGAAGATAACAGACTGCAGGGAGAGAGAAGCGCGAGTCCTGGCGGGCTCTGGGCTTGGGGTGCTCCAGCTCTTTGCTTCTCTTTGAAGCAGTTTCACTGTCTCTAAGTTTCACAGGCTGGGCTGGAACTTGCAGCCCTCCTGCCTCAGCCGCCCAGAGTGCCGGAATGACAGCTGTGCCGACGTCTTGCGCAGACCCCTCAATGGTCCTCTTCCCCGGCAGCGCCCCCACAGGCCCAGCTTTGGTCTGCCCCGCCCCTCTCGTCCTCATTCCATTCCTTACTGTCAGGCCCGACCTAGCGAGACCTTCACAAACCAACGGACGAAGCAAACAGGCCGCTTTCAGCAAACAGCGTCAGCTGTCCCCCAAACCGGGCAAGCCATGGAGCCCAGGGTCCTGCTGCGGGGACAATGCAGCGCCAGAAGGCCGCCCCTGCTGCGTACTACAGACCCACACCGCCAGCGCCCTCCCCGCTAGTCCCGCAGCCCCAGACAAAGGCCCAGGCCAGGCCCAGATTGCCTGCGATACACCCTGCTGGCGCTTTCCCTTCCCTCCTCCCCTTCTCAAGCCCACAGGGGACTCAGCTGCCTCCCAGGACCAACGCTGGATCCCGCCTGAGGCCTACACCCCTGGTTCCTCCTCCATCCTCGTCCTGCCCTGCTCTGAGCTCCGGGCTCCAGGTCACAAACTTTTCACCCGGACTCCTTAGCCTTCAGCACCTGTGCAGGCCTCGCCCCTTCCCCAGTCTTCTCCCTGGTGTCCGCCCATCCTCCCTGGTGTGACAAACTCAGCTTTTCCCAGCCGGCTGCTAAATCCCCTGATTTCAGTCCTGTCCGTTGGAATAAACTTTCCTTTCAGAAGCCCTTTTCTGACCAGTGGGTTCTTTATGACACTTGCGGGATGAGCTGCTTCTGCCCGGGGCTGCAAGGAGCCCCACCTCCACTACTAGCCATGCCCTTCCCTTGCCCGGGGTGGGGCCTGCAGGGGACGCAGCCCCTCCTCCACGCTATTTCCCAGGGGGAAGCTGGAGGGGCCAGAGCCAGAGGCCGCCCTGACTCAGCCTTCCTGAGGCGCAGGCTCTGGGGCTCCCGCTGCCCTGCTCACCGCGTTGGCCTGGGCACGCGTGGCCTGGCACCCGAAGTGCGTGGCGATGACGGCGATGAAGAACTCCAGGATGGTGAAGATGGTCAGCACTGCCAGGTAGCCCCTGCCCACGTCCTGGTGACCAAAGCCTCCTCAGGGGAGCTGCTAGGCCGCCCGACCCTGTCCCCACCCACTCCGTGCCCCGCCCCACTCCGTGCCCCGCCCCACCCCGCGCTCCGCCCCATGGGGCAGTGTATCGGGGTTACCCAGGTGGTGACACCGAAGTCCATGAGCAGAATGGCCGTGCCCGCGAAGGCCGCCGTGGCGCTGAGGATGTTGGTGCCCAGGCTGCTTCTCACCTGTGGGCGTGGACAGGAGGGACAGGGACACAGGGACAGGCAGGAAGGGGCCTGGCCTGCCCAGTTTCCCCAGGTGCCCGGCTGTATTTTTCTTTGCTGTTGGTGGCACTGGGGATCGAACCCGGGGCCTTTGAACTGAATGCTTCCCCAGCCCTTTGCATTTTTCATTGGGAGATGGGATCTCTCCGATTTGCCTAGGTGGGACTTGAGCTTGTGACCCTCCTGCCTCAGCCTCCCAGAGTGCTGGGATGACAGCTGTGCACAAGTCACCCTTCTTCGTAGGCCCGTTCTGTCTGGGTGCCCCACCCCAGGGGGGCCCTGTCCTGCACCTTCCCCTCCTGTCCCTGACTCCCTCCCCTGTGCAGGTCCTGGCTTCTGCCCTCCTGCAGTGGCCAATCCGTTCTCCGGGGCTTCTGGGGGCGCCGGTCAGCAGGCAGGGTGGACCCAGGCGACCCTGACCCCTGAGCTCCTGGGCTTACCAGGCAGCGGGTGTGGCTCCTCTCAGCTGCCACTGACAGGGACCCGGAGAGGACGAACTGTGGCAGGAGGTAGACATGGAGGCCTGGGTGGGCACACCATGGTGGCCCTGCCCAGGGACACAGCACAGCCTCCCGGCCACCGCTGGCCTCCTGGCCAGGTGCCCAGGCAGCAGGGTGCACTCTGTCAGCCCCAAACCCTCCTCCCTCTGGAGCCCTATCCCGGTTCTCAGCACCCTGGCGGCCGCGGCTGGGGCTGGAGGAGAAGCCAGGACCCCAGCACTGAGCCCGGGGGGCTGCGGGGTGTGAGGAGCTGAGGGAAGGAGGCCTGGGATGCTGGCGGCTCGGCGTCCACCCCAGCAGCTCCTGGACACGACTGGGGAGGCACGAGGACTGGACGTGGCCCCCACTCACGCAGGATCCTCCCCAGAAGGGGGCGCCACCTTGGATGAAGAGCATGCCCAGGGGCCCGCGGCGGACCATGAGCAGCACGCTGCCGAAGCCCAGGTGGATGAGGCCGATGAGGATCTGCACGGCCTGGGGGCGCAGGGCGAGAGCTCAGCTGGCTCCCTGCTGGCTCCCCACAGCCTCGGGACCCAGGGCGCAGCTCGGCATCTGGGAGCCAAGCCAGCTCATTCTGTGCTCAATAAACTCTGTTAGTTTTAAATTGCTTAAAGTTTTTCCTAAGTAATATGGATGCATGCACATCTATATACCTATCTTGCTCCTATCCATCCATCCGCCCATCTGTCCACTCATCCATTCATCTCTCCACTCCCTCATCACTCACCCTCCCATCCATCCATCTTTCTATCCACCCATCCGTCTATCCATCCGCCGTCTGTCTGTCCATCCTACCATTTTTCCTCACTCGGGCTGCTCTCCCAAGGCTCTCTGAGGCTGGGAAAGACCTGACAGCCATCTCTCATGCACTGTCACCCCCGGAGCTGGCTCTCCTGCCTCTTGTCTCTACCCCTCCCACCTCCCTGCTGTGTCTCCCTCCTGTGTCCCCATGAACAGGACCTGCTCGTTCTGCCCCGGCTCCCACCTCACACTCGGGGGCAGTACTCTCTCTGCCCTTGCTGGAGTGTCGTCGCCCTCTGGTTCTCCTGGCTGCGGTGTACCTGTGAGCCCCAGAAGGGCCTCCACCGGGAGGCCGCTGCTCCCTGCCCGCCACCCTCCCTGCCAGTCACAGGATGTCATCTCACCCCTAAAGCTTTGGGCTCTCCGGTCAGGAACATCTCCATGGGACGCAGGTCGGGCGGCTGGGTGGCCTGGGGCGTCTGCGTCCCCAGCGGTGGCTCCTCCAGCTGCACGGCCCCTGGAGGCTGGCACACAGAGGTGGGCAGGAGGGCCGGAGGCGG